ACTTCTGAAACCCATAGAAAATGATGATTTTCGCTGCTTTTTCCTCTTGTGATGATTTGGGCTGCTTTTTCCTCTTGCTGCTGCTATGAATTTTGGCTACCTTTACATCCTGTCCCCAAATGGGAAAACACCATGGAAAAAATCACCTGCCGGCAGGGAAACACCATGCCTCTGAAGGACGGAGAAGCCCCAAAATTGCACCCCGAAAATGCCTAACGTGACTTCTGAAACCCATAGAAAATGATGCTTTTGGCTCCTTTTTCCTCTTGCTGCTGCCATGAATGTTAGCTACCTTTACATCCGGTCCCCAAATAGGAAAACACCATGGAAAAAATCACCTCCCGGGGGCGAAATTGTTCACAACCTCTCTACCCTGACGCGCTCCCCCTGCTTTTTCCTCTTGCTGCTGCTATGAATTTTGGCTACCTTTTCCTCCTGCCGCTGCAGAGGCTTTTGCTGCTGCTGCTGCTGGTCCTCGGATGTGAAAACACCATGGAAAACAGGGAAACACCATGCCTCTGAAGGACGGAGAAGCCCCAAAATTGCACCCCGAAAATGCCTAACGTAACTTCTGAAACCCATAGAAAATGATGATTTTGGCTCCTTTTTCCTCTTGCTGCTGCTATGAATTTTGGCTACCTTTACATCCGCTCCCCAAATGGGAAAACACAATGGAAAAAATCACCTGCCGGCAGGGAAACACCATGCCTCTGAAGGACGGAGAAGCCCCAAAATTGCAGCCCGAAAATGCCTAATGTAACTTCTGAAACCCATAGAAAATGATGATTTTGGCTGCTTTTTCCTCTTGCTGCTGCTATGAATTTTGGCTACGGGAAAACACCATGGAAAAAATCACCTCCCGGCAGGGAAACACCGTGCCTCTGAAGGACGGAGAAGCCCCAAAATTGCACCCCGAAAATGCCTAACGTAACTTCTGAAACCCATAGAAAATGATTCTTTTGGCTGCTTTTTCCTCTTGCTGCTGCTATGAATTTTGGCTACCTTTACATCCGGTGGAAAACAGGAAAACAGGAAAACAGGGAAACACCATGCTACTGGAGTACTGCTGCTGCTGCTGCTGCTGCTGCTGGTGCAGCTGACCCTTCAAAAAGGCGGCTTTCGGCAAGGAAACCCCATGCTACTGAAGGGCGACAGCAACTGCTGCTGCTGCTGCTGCTGCTGCTGCTGCTGCTGCTGTGCCCACAAAGACACGGCCCTCCCGGAGAGTCCAAAATATGCGTTTCCCGGGGCCGGAACGTCCCTTCTGAAATCTCCTACAAAAAGCTTGCTATACGTTTCTCGAGGCTGGCTGCTGGCTCGCTGCTAGCTGCTTCACTGCTGCCGTTGCGCTTACTGCTGCGTTTGCTTGTGTCTGCTGCTGCCTACTGATGCCTGCTGCTGCCTGCTGCCTGCTGCTCCCTGCTGCTGCCTGCTGCTGGTGCTGCTGCTGGTGGCTGCTGCTGCTGCTGTTGTTGTGCTGCTGCAAAGCAAGAAGCAGCTACTGCTGCTGCTGCTGCTGCTGCTGTGCCCACAAAGACACGGCCCTCCCGGACGGGGAAACACCATAGCCCTGAAGGACGAACGGAATCCAAAATAATATAAGCGTTTCCCGGGGCCGGAACGTCCCTTCTGAGCTGCTGCTGCTGCTGCTGCTGCTGCACTAGTCCAAAACAAGGGTCAAATGTCTTATTCCCTAGCGCGCTCCCCCTTGCGTCTGCCTGAAAGGCCGTGCCACGAGTGTGGGGAGATGAAACGCAAAGATGCATTCACCAAAGCACAGTGGAAACAGGAAACCTACCGCGTGTGCAAAGAATGCACAGCGCAGAAGCGCGAGGCAGGCACACCATATCGATGCGCACAGTGTGGCTTATGGCATGCGGCTGCTCACTTTAAGCAAGCATCAAAATCCACGGTGGAGCTTGTACCGCGTTTGCTTATCATGTGATGCTGTCAAGCATTGTTTTGCCTGCAAAAGAAAACGAACAAAGGAATATTTCTGCACTGCAGCTTGGACAGCCAGGAAGCCGAATCGAAGAGTGTGCTTGCAATGCCCTACTAGTAGTAGTAGTAGTAGTAGTAGTAGTAGTAAGTGGTAGTAAGTTGTGTAGCAAGTAGCAGTAGCATTAGTAGTAGTAGTAGTAGTAGTAGTAGTAGTAGCAGTAGCAGTAGCAGTAGCAGTAGCAGTAGCAGTAGCAGCAGCAGCAGCAGCAGTAGTAGTAGTAGTAGTAGCTTCTGAAATCTCCTACAAAAAGCTTGCTATACGTTTCTCGAGGCTGGCTGCTGGCTCGCTGCTAGCTGCTGCACTGCTGCCGTTGCGCTTACTGCTGCGTCTGCTTGTGTCTGCTGCTGCCTACTGATGCCTGCTGCTGCCTGCTGCTGCCTGCGGCTGCTAGTAGTAGTAGTAGTAGTAGAAGAAGTAGTAGAAGAAGTAGAAGAAGTAGTAGTAGAAGTAGTAGTAGAAGTAGTAGAAGAAGTAGTAGTAGAAGTAGTAGTAGAAGTAGTAGTAGAAGTAGTAGTAGAAGTAGTAGTAGAAGTAGTAGTAGAAGTAGTAGAAGAAGTAGAAGAAGTAGTAGAAGAAGTAGAAGAAGTAGAAGAAGTAGAAGAAGTAGAAGAAGTAGAAGAAGTAGAAGAAGTAGAAGAAGTAGAAGAAGAAGTAGAAGAAGTAGTAGAAGAAGTAGAAGAAGTAGAAGAAGTAGAAGTAGTAGAAGTAGTAGAAGTAGAAGTAGAAGTAGTAGTAGTAGTAGAAGTAGTAGTAGTAGTAGTAGAAGTAGAAGTAGAAGTAGAAGTAGAAGTAGTAGTAGTAGTAGTAGTAGTAGTAGTAGTAGTAGTAGTAGTAGTAGTAGTAATAGCAAGGCAGTACCTCTTCAGTAGTAGAAGTAGTAGAAGAAGTAGTAGTAGAAGTAGTAGTAGAAGTAGTAGTAGAAGTAGTAGTAGAAGTAGTAGTAGAAGTAGTAGAAGAAGTAGAAGAAGTAGTAGAAGAAGTAGAAGAAGTAGAAGAAGTAGAAGAAGTAGAAGAAGTAGAAGAAGTAGAAGAAGTAGAAGAAGTAGAAGAAGAAGTAGAAGAAGTAGTAGAAGAAGTAGAAGAAGTAGAAGAAGTAGAAGTAGTAGTAGAAGTAGTAGTAGAAGTAGTAGTAGAAGTAGAAGTAGAAGTAGAAGTAGTAGTAGTAGTAATAGTAGTAGTAGTAGTAACACGGCCCTCCTGGACGGGGAAACACCATGGCCCTGAAGGACGAACAGAGTCCAAAATAAGCGTTTCCCGGGGCCGGAACGTCCCTTCTGAAATCTCCTACAAAAAGCTTGCTATACGTTTCTCGAGGCTGGCTGCTGGCTCGCTGCTAGCTGCTGCACTGCTGGCGTTGCGCTTACTGCTGCGTCTGCTTGTGTCTACTGATGCCTGCTGCTGCCTGCTGCTGCCTGCTGCTGCCTGCGGCTGCTAGTAGTAGTAGTAGTAGTAGTAGAAGAAGTAGTAGAAGAAGTAGAAGAAGTAGTAGTAGAAGTAGTAGTAGAAGTAGTAGAAGAAGTAGTAGTAGAAGTAGTAGTAGAAGTAGTAGTAGAAGTAGTAGTAGAAGTAGTAGTAGAAGTAGTAGAAGAAGTAGAAGAAGTAGTAGAAGAAGTAGAAGAAGTAGAAGAAGTAGAAGAAGTAGAAGAAGTAGAAGAAGTAGAAGAAGTAGAAGAAGTAGAAGAAGTAGAAGAAGTAGAAGAAGTAGAAGAAGAAGTAGAAGAAGTAGTAGAAGAAGTACAAGAAGTAGAAGAAGTAGAAGTAGTAGAAGTAGTAGAAGTAGAAGTAGAAGTAGTAGTAGAAGTAGTAGTAGAAGTAGAAGTAGAAGTAGAAGTAGAAGTAGTAGTAGTAGTAGTAGTAGTAGTAGTAATAGCAAGGCAGTACCTCTTCTTCCCTTACGCGCTCCCCCTTGCGTCGGCCGGGGTCGGCGGATATATATATATATACACACATACAGTATACGTATCACACATTTCTGAGGCAAACCTTTGTGGATGACGTGCGCTTTGTAAATGCTGTTGAATTTGGTCCTCTTCGGGTGGCGCTGCAGGCCATTTTGTCAGCAGTTTGATTCATATGCTTTCGAAGCATATCTTTGTGCACCTTACCTTTTGCTTCACTTTTTTAATCTTTTTGATTTGTTTTGATTTGTTGATTCACGAGATTCGCTCAATCACTAAAGGCCGAAAGAGAGATCATGGACGACCAGCAAATCAGGCATTCGATTTTGATGGGATGGTGGTAAAAAGATCTAAAAAGGACTTTCAGTGACTTTCCTGCTGAATTTCACTGCTTCGGAGTTGTTTTTTGAGTGTCGAAGACTCGACTATGTGAGCAGATTTGCGAGGGTCAAGTTCAAAGAGACGGTTTTCTCCATTTTCGGGCTGGAGCTCTTCAGGAAGCCCACCAAAGGCGCCGAGTTCTGGCAACAAGTTTGTACTGATGTACTGTAGCGGCTGTAGCTGCTGTAGCGGCTGTAGCTTTATTTCCGATTCAGTGATTCATTCTGCAACATTGCCAGGTTCAGGAATTTGGACCCAACGATTTGTGGATGCTGGATTGCGGGTGATGAACACACCTTCATTGTTTGTACTCCGAAAGCGACGATCGGCTTAAAAGTGTAGAGCAAAGTGAAGAGCGAAAAGAGTTACGAAAAGTATATAGATCAAAAGTACTAGCGGTTGCCAGCGGTTGCTAGCGTAGATGAAAATAGTCAGACCTTAGTCAAAGCATGCACCCAGCTGTACAGGTTTCAAGTCTTCCGCGGCTGCACGCAGACCCTGTATTCACTTAGCTGCAGCTGCGCCATGTTTTCCAACCTGGGCTCTTGAGAAAAGGTCTTTGGGGTATTTGCCTTTACTGCATGAGGACAACTTATCAGACCTTATTATGGAGTCATATGAATCATCCATGGAGAAGGTTTCTCCAGAAGTTTGCAATTAGGAAGGGAAGTTCAGGTTGCCATGTGATCATCTCTTGTTGGCAGCCGTTGGAACTTTCGGCCCAAGCCAAAAGACAAGCTGTGGGGATCGGAAATCAGTACCTGAGCCTTTGCAAAGTGCCTCAAGGTGACAGGATGAACACCTAGAGAACACATGCCTCACCGTCACATTAAGATTTCAAGTTGTTTCATATTTCTCAATATTTATCAATTGAAGTGTTTTATCTGTATGTCAGTATGTCTTCATATTTCTTATCGTTTGTCTATAATCTAGAATTATCATGAATTATCTAAGAATCTAAGATGTTCATTTAATTTAATGATCATTTGTAAGACTTCAGAGATTTGAATGTGTTTGCAAAGCCGTTTCACGGCTGTTGAAGCGTCGGCTCCTTGAGGTCAAGGCCATGAGCAAGCTCGGCATGGAAGAGCACACCACTTTTTTCCTCAAGACGCACTCTTAGCATCACTTAGCATGACTTAGCATGACTTAGCATGACTTAGCATCACCCAGCATTGCTCAGTCTCACTGCATCACTTCCAGTCTCACTGCATCACTTGCAATAAAATTTGCAGTATGACTGACACTGTGATTCGCAGTGTTACTTTGTGTCACTTACATCCACTTACAGTGCCACTCGTAGTGACCAACAGTTTACTCAAGGATCCAACCGAAGTTAAACGCTATGGAACCATGGAACCATGGAACCTCCACTAAGGTTTTTGGGTGTATTGTTCTTCCTCATGACCTTTGGACAAGTTGGTCACATCCTTGGTTCGAATTGCAGTAGCTGTGGCTTGTGATTTTTCTCATGAATCTTTTGGTCTTTTGGCTTGTCGATGATGTCCGAGGTCAGCTGGCTTATTGTTGGCTGATGACTGGTGGGTTGAAGCCTCAGGGTGCAGATCGATTCGAGTCAAGCAGTTTGCAAGGATGGCAGGGTGGTCAATATGGCACGGCGTTATGCCACTTCCACTGCAACATCGGTCTCCCATGATTCCCATGTGTGGGCGACCCTTTTCTGGTCGCTAGGAGAGCTCTGAGTCAGTCGCAGTGTTGCTTGGGTTGTTTGAACTCATTTTATAGGGGAGCACTGGCGCCAGTTTGTTGATAGTGCACTCGAATTGGTTGGGTCGCTCCAAACATTTGCATTCAATGGATGGCGGCATTCTCCGGAGTCTTGTGGGTGATAGGCTGAAACCCTTTGAGGGCCGTCGTCTTTGTCGGAGGTGATAGAAGTACAACATCTCATATTACTACATTGTATACACCCCGTGCACATGTCTCTGTCTATGCATCTGTCTATTTTAGAGCTGACGCTCATCGTCGGCTCCGCCCGATTACTTGACCCTCGATGTCATCGCAGGGTGGGCTTGAAAGCTATTGAATGAGGACCTGCTGCTTCAGAAATATATTCCTTATGCTTTTTTGAACATATTCATGGAATCATGGAACTGCGTTTTTTTTCTTGGAGCAAGTGGGGCAGGCTTGTTCCCGAAAGCTCCTGCGAAGGGTTTTCCCTAAAGAATTGCTGCCAGTGTAAAGACTTCTCTGTGTAAAAGCTTCTGTGTGTAAAAGCTTCTGCGTGTAAAAGCTTCTCTGTGTAAAGACCTCTCTGTGTCAAAGCGTCTGTGTGTAAAAGCTTCTGCGTGTAAAAGCTTCTCTGTGTAAAGACCTCTCTGTGTCAAAGCGTCTGTGTGTAAAAGCTTCTGCGTGTAAAAGCTTCTCTGTGTAAAGACCTCTCTGTGTAAAAGCTTTTGTGTGTAAAAGCTTCTGCGTGTGAAAGCTTCTCGGTGTAAAGATTTCTCTGTGTAAAAACTTCTGTGTGTAAACGCGCCTGTGCGTACAAGCTCCTCTGTGTAAAGGCTTCTCTGTGTAAACTTCTGTGTGTGAAATCTTCCGTGTGTAAAAGCTCTCTGTGTAAAGACTTCTCTGTGGGAAAGTTTCTGTGTGTAAACGCGCCTGTGTGTATTGAAGCTCTCTGTGTCAAGACTTCCTTGTGTAACTGCGACTGTGTTTAACAGCTTCTGTGAGTAAACGCCCTTGTGTGTAAAAGCTCCTGTGTAAAGTGTAAAGACTTCTATGTGTACAAGCTTCTGTGTGAAAAAGCTTCTGGGTGTAAAAGCTTCTCTGTGTAAAAAAAACTATGTGCGAAAGAACGCTTCCGTGTGTAAAAGCTCTCTGTGTAAAGACTTCTTTGTGTAAAAGTTTCTGTCTGTAAACGCGCCTGTGTGTTAAAGCTCTCTGTGTAGAGACTTCTTTGTGTAACAGCGTCTGTGTGTAACAGCTTCTGTGTAAACGCCCTTGTGTGTAATAGGTCCTGTGTAAAGGCTTCTCTGTGTAAACGCTTCTGCGTGCAAACGCGTCTGTGTGTAAAAGCTCTCTGTAATCACTTCTCTGTGTAAAAGCTTCTGTGCGTAAAAGCTCCTCTGTGTAAAAGCCTTTGTGTGCAAAATCTCCTTAGTGTAAAGACTTCTCTGTGTAAAAGCTTCTGTGTGTTAAAGTTCTCTGTGTAAAGACTTCTCTCTGTGTAAAAGCTTCTGCGTGTAGAAGCCAGTCTGTATAAAGACTTCTCTGTGTAAAGGCCTCTGTGTGTAAAAGCTTCTGTGTCTAAGAGCCGCTCTGTGTAAAGACTTCTCTGTGTAAAAGCCACTGTGTGTGTGAAAGCTTCTGTGCGTAAAAGCTTCTGTGTGTAAACGCGTCTGTGTAAGAGCTCCTCACCTGCAGCATTCATCATCATATTTTCTTGTGTGCTATTTTCTCGTCTCCTCCCTCCAGCTTTCTTTCGGGCCACACTGTCGTCTAGTTTCAATCTGTAACGTGGTTTCTTCTTGAAGAATGCCAAGAACATGTGAAAGCATCGCTCGTTTAAAAGTTAAACATAAACAGCGCACAAAGTGCTGTAATTTACAGCATTTAGCGCTATCACGTGGCAAGAACCTGCGTAAGCACCGCAGTTTTAGTCCCCGAAAGTGGCTAAAACACTGTTATTTACACGGCTTCGTTCACGTCACGATCTTCGATTTTTTGAACACATTTTTTTGCATTCATCAAGGCAAAAGTTCGGTTCAAAAAGAGCAAAACATGCTGTAATTTACAGGGGTTTGGTGCCGTCACGGGCAAAAAAACTGCGTAAATACCAGCGTTTGAGCGTTCAAAATTGGCCCAAACATTGCTATTTACAGTGTTTCGTGCCTTCCACGTTTTCTTGACATGCCAAAAACTGTGTAAATACCGGCATTTTTTGCGATCAACCCGCAAAAAAATGCTGTAATTTACAGTGTTGTTTTTGGTGCGCCTTCAAAAGCATTGGTATTTGCAGTGTTTTGTGCATCTCTAGTCTAAAGTATTCAGCATATTCGGCCTTTTGCATTGTCCCCGCCAAAGACGTCAAAACGCAAAAATGTTATAATTTACAGCATTTGGTTGCTTTCGGAAAGCCAAAAATCGTCCGAAAAATGTGTCAAAGCGTTTTTTTTCCGATTTTAGGTACTATCAAAACGGGGGGGGTCGGGGGAATGCTTTTCGAGACGCTTGTGAGCGACTTGGATTCCGTCCAACAAGATTTCCCCCAGCAACTTGAAGGATTTTTGCTGTTTTTTGGGGCCCGGGGTTGGAGGGTCTGCGGTTTGTGGCACGCCTCACATAGAGCTCTAGCGCACGTAGCGCATTTGTCAGCGCGCTCGAGGGGAGGCGGCGGGGCCGAATTATAAGGGTGGTGGTAGTGGTAGTAGTGGTAGTAGTGGTAGAGTAGTGGTAGTGGTGGTAGTAATGGTAGTAGTGGTAGTGGTGGTGGTGGTGGTGGTGGTGGTGGTAGTAGTAGTAGTAGTAGTAGTAGCAGTAGCAGTAAGAGTAACAGTAGCAGTAGGGGTAGTAGGAGGAGGAGGAGTAGGAGGAGGAGGAGTAGGAGGAGGAGGAGGAGGAGTAGTAGTAGTAGTAGTAGTCGTAGTCGTAGTCGTAGTCGTCGTAGTCGTCGTAGTCGTCGTAGTCGTCGTAGTCGTAGTCGTCGTAGTAGTCGTAGTAGTAGTGGGTTCATGTCGTTTCTTGTCTCGTCTCCCCTGAAGTTGTCTCAGGTCGGTGTGCCGTGGGAAGTGTGTATAAAAGATATATGGCATTATTATTCCATTGGATCGTTGCTTATTGTAAGACCACAAAAACGCATAGGCATGCTGAATTTCACCAACGTGAGCCTTCCATTTGTAGTCATTAACCTTCTTATGGTTTGTTTGTCCATTGCAGGGCACACAACGCAGGGGTACACTGGTTGTCATAAACATGTTTGTTTATTACTTGGTTTGATACTTGTGTTCCAAACGCAGCGGCATGCTCGGTCAAAGGGAATATGTGGCACTGGGTATTTCAATGATTTTGTGCAGCACAACAGATCTTGTGCCAACATCGATGTGCCTGCCATTTGGTGCTAGTGGGTTCAAATTTGGGAGCTGGGTCGATGTTGTAACAAGTGCCGATGACAAGATCTTGTGCCAAATCGTGGTGTGCCTATGGGGAAAGGCCCGCATGGGGAGCGCCTATGATTTTAACTTACTGATGTACTTTGTGGCACTTCGCATAGGCACACGATGCTTACCTGTCATATCTTTTGTGGGTTGACCCACTATACTCCCAAAGATGAAAGTCGTGGCAATCGTATACTTTTCCGATTTAGGTTGGCAGACAAATTTTAGCAAGTCGTTGCAGTCGTGGCGTTTAGGTGGTGATTTGTGAGTTTTGAAATTGGTAACACGTTTAATACGTAAAAAATGTGTTTAAGTTGTGTTTTGCTTCAGTTTGGGGCTCAAATATAGACAATCGAACATAGGTCATGCTGACCTGCTGCCCCATGCCTGGTGGTTCCTCTGCCCATGCCTTTGCTTTCTCTTCCCCAGACAGTTTTAGCCTTTAGATATCTTTGGCTATCGCGGTTCCTACGTCTCAAACAGTCTGTGCCCGCTCAAATTTGTCACCGCCGCCTTGTTTGCCAAGCTTGCGTCCCTTTGTCTCCCCTCTGTCTCCCTTACTCGCCCTTTGTCTCCTCTTCTGTCTCTTAGCTCTTGCCTGCAGCTGCTGCTTGGCTTGGTTTCCTCTTCTGCTCCACCGCTGAAAGCTCTTGAGTTTTACTGTTCTGAAAAGACTGCGAAAGCGTGTGACTACCAAAGAGTCTGTCAGGAGACTTAGGGGGTCAGTCTCCCAAATTTTGATTTCGGACCTCGTTCGGATCTCGTCCGCGCCTCGTTCGAACCTCGTTAAAATTGCAGCCAGTCAAAACCCAACCCGGAGAGGTTTTGGAAAGGCTTTGCAATGGTCTGCTGCTTGGTCTGCTGCTGCTGCTGCTGTTGTTGCTTGTGCTGCTGCTTCTGAATTAGTCCACTTTGACCATCGGTGTGCCAATAGGATTTCCACCTGGCGGAAGATTATTGATGTCTGGCGGAAGCGGTGTGCCATGCGGCCGGCACAAGTTCTAGTAAATGGCGTAGGATCACGCCGGGGCTCGGGTCAGGGATGCTTTGCACGACTTATTTGGCACTAGGTGTGCCATTGGGAAACAGATAGTTAAACAACCGAAATCAAACGAATCCATGTCCAGAGACATGACAAGACAAGGAAACGGGGCGTGTGCTGCAGAATTGGTTACTTTTCTCATTTGGATAGAAGGCAGCTGTTTTGCTGTCAATGCGTGCGTGCCAATGGCGGTTGCTTACTTTCGACATGGTTTTATTACCAAAGGAGATGATATTAAAAATGTGGTTCGCAATGGCACGTTTGCCAAACCAACGATGGCGTGGTACCAGTGTGCCAATAGGATTTGGTCCCTGGGGTAGCTTCCGGTTGGCCTGGGGTAGGCCCTGTGTGCCATTGGGATGGGGTAACTCTGGGTGCGTGGGGTAAGAAACAACGTCCGCCCAGCAGTGGTGCGTGGGGTAAGAAACAACGTCCGCCCAGTAGTAGTAGTAGTAGTAGTCGTCGTCGTCGTCGTCGTAGTAGTAGTCGTAGTCGTAGTCGTAGTCGTAGTCGTAGTCGTCGTAGTCGTCGTAGTCGTAGTCGTCGTAGTAGTCGTAGTAGTAGTACTACTACTACTACTACTGCTACTACTACTACTACTACTAGTACTACTAGTACTAGTACTAGTACTAGTACTCCTCGCTCCCCTTGCCACGGCTGGGGTCGGCGGATTATGTTTGTATTTGTATTCTAGACTTGTTGTGGCTCTGGCCCCTTGACTACTGTCACTATTTTGAATCGAGGCTACTGTGGCTGGCGCTGACATCTGGTTTGGGTCAGTTCCTTACCCGTCGCTGATGACAGACGGGGCTATTGTTTATTGTTTCAAAAGGACAGGCAGGTTGCAATTGAGCCAGTGGACTTGTTGAGGCTTTTCGCACGATGACTCTGTTGCAGTGCTTGCAGCAGTTTTTGGGGTGTGGCTGTCTTGTTTTGTGTCAGAACTGCTTTTGTGCTGACTCAGTGCCGACTCATTTCAATGCAATGCTTGCAGCATCAGCTCTCGCCACTGTCCGGGCCAGCTCCGTGCGATTCCCTTCATCGGTAAGCGACTGATGACCCTGGCAGCAACATACCCGCTAGCCCTGACTTTCAGGCCTTAAGAAGCTCTCTCGGGAGATTTTGGGACATGCCGGGGAGCAAGTCATGTCATTTCTGTCTCCTTCAACTTGTCTTGCAGATTCGCGTCGAAAATTCTGCCCAAGTACACCATAGATGAGGTTGGCCATTTCCATTTCTTGTGTTTTTTCTTGCCTCGCTCTGTTCTGACTATGGAATCACCTGCACGCTGGTTTGTACTTCTTTTCATGGCCTGCAGCGCAAGAGCATCTTGAACGAAAATCAATTAAGTTGCTAAACAGATTTTTTGCCCATTGCCATTCCGATTTATGCAGGCTCAGTTTTTCTCTTGCGATGGCTGCTCGGATGAAGTAGCTGCGCGACGAAAGGCGATCTTTGACTTGACAGAAACTTCTTTGACACAAAAGTGTGAAAAACTCTTCACGTTGTTCCAGAGCTTGTGAACGCCTTGAAAAGAGATGGATATGTTCATTTCGCTTCTCAGCTGCAAGAGCTTGGCTATGGAGGCATCGCTTCAAGAACTGAGTGAGAAATGGAAGAAGAAATATCCCAAATGTTTCTTGGCGCGCACTTGGCTTATCGCCCCTCCCATACCTTGCCGTCATTAGCCGTTTTTGTGGAGCCAGTGTTTTACTTCAACAACATTATTAAGAATTATTAACATCTATGTCTATTACAGATTACAGTAACATTGTGGAACATTATGCGAACGTTGTGTGAACATCAACGTACCTATGTTACTTTGGTTTGGTTTAGCTCAGTTTACTACACATGCTGAGAGGATAGTTTCTTTCTTCTGCCTAGAAAGTATCTATTGTCAAGGGGGGTGTCCTGGTAGGGCGACAGCAACGAGCCTCCTGTCGACTGGCTCTTCTCTGATAATGCAATATAATGCAATGTGACTCTGATCGTCTTTGACTTGCTACCCGTTTGCATGTAAAAAACACCTGATTGCTGCAGACATTGTGGGACCGAGGCCAAGAATTCTCACTGGACCGGCGTCGGGCATTGGGTTGAGCAAAGAATCTTACATACGTTCAGCATCGTTCCACAATATCCGCAGTATCCATCAGTATCCACAATAGACAATAGATTCGATTCATTTGATTTTACCGGACTTCCTGGAGGAATGGCAGTTGTTAGATACTGTTAGATAATTTGAAGATATTTAGAGTCTAAAATGTATTTTTTTGCCAGCGCAATACACAAAATTAGAGCTCTCGCGAGTTTGGTTTGTAAGCAACACATCAATTTGTCAGGAACCTTTGCCTGCTGTACGATGGGATCTGTATAGCCAAACTTTACAATTTCGGGTGAGTTTCACTTGGAATCTATCCATCATATCCCATCATATCCCTGTATTTGCTCTTCATGCTTTCTCATCGGAGTGCCAGATAGTGAAAGTCAGAGGAGTTGAAGAAGATGATTTCAGACCTTCGGTTCACTTCTGCGTCTTTCCATCATGTTTCTTTGTTACGATGAGTCATTCTGGGGATTCATTCTGGCTTTGCTTTGCATTCAATGGCAGGCGCTGTTTTCCTGCATTCAACGGTGTTGTGCAGAAGTACTTAGATCCATCAATGGCGCTTGATCGCTTCAGCCTGAACATTTGCCCGTTTTCGGATTTTTTTGCGAGCTGTTGTCACATATTTTGCCAAAGAAGCTCGGTTTTCCGCTTTCAGAAAGCAGAACATTTGCATGTCCGAATCATTTCACATCATTCTTTGGAGTGGTTTGAATCAGCATGTTTTCATGAAATTTGCTCTTCACGCTGCTTGTTCTTTGCGCTTTTAAGAAAGATGCGCGGATCAAAGCAGCTTGCAAGAGGTGGACTACGGACGCAGAAATCGATTGGTCACATGCAAAAAACACACTTTTTCAAATACTTGTTTCTTTTTGTTTGTTTTGATGATTGGAAATCGATTCAGACAGGCTGTATCAAGAGTTATGCTCCCCTCGACCATTTTCAAGCACAGGCTTCCAATTATGCATTGCCTCTGTTTGCGAAGGGTTTGTCTGTGTCTTTTGGTACCAGAACATGTGTGTTGTTGTTTTCTGTTCCCTCTGTCATTCGAATGGCGTTGTTCCGTTATTTTGCATGACTTTGACTTGACTGATGGCAGACCCAATGGCAGACCAAGCTGATCTAGCGACTGATTCATTGAAAGGGCGAAGATCACGTAGACAGCGCTTGCGAGAAAGACTTTCGTCTGGGCTGTCAGCAACAGCTTCTGGTTTGTCCGCGACGTGGTCACGTGCGGCTTCAGAGTTCAGGCGGCCGCGAACTTCCTCAGGAGAGGGTGAACCTGGTGACCGTCCTGAGCCAGACCGTGCAGAGAATGTGGAACTTGCACCGCGGGATTCTCGTGAAGATCCTGAGAAGAAATGGCAAAAAATGTGGGAAAGCATAGCTTGTGAAGGAAACGATGCAATGTCTTTGGCCTGTGAGAGATGGAGGCGATCATTGGCAGGTGAACGCAACACCTTCTGGTCTAAATTGACAATGAAAGTGAATGATTCCATCCATTCGACGGATTCTCCACGAAAAGACTGGGAACGCGTAAGCAAAGCTGTACGAGCTGGAGTTCCTGAAAGTCTGAGATGCGCAGTATGGACAGCGTGTAGTGGTGCCATGACCAAAAAGAAGGAAGCACTGACAGTGCTGAGTCTCGACCAGTCAGACGCCTTGGAATTATCCTACCACTTCTTTGTAAAACAAGGCTTGACGTTGAAGAACGAGGCATCTGGAGTCATTGAGGTCGATGTTCCCCGAACTGGGTGCGAGGAAGCATTGTTTGAACCTGTACGACGAGTCTTGTTGGCATTTGCAGCAAAGAATCCAGAGTTAGGCTATTGCCAATCCATGAACTTCATTGCTGCTGCCCTGCTGCGATACTGTGACGAAGAAAGCGCTTTCTGGATCCTGTGCAGTCTGCTTGAAGATATCCTGCCTGAAGGATACTACACTCGGAATATGGTCGGCATCCGCGTTGATATGTTAGTCCTCAACTCGCTGGTCATGCGATACTTGCCAAATCTCCACAAGCACCTTTCTGAACACAATGTAGATTTATCTCCCGTTTCCATGAACTGGTTTCTTTGTTTGTACGTAAACACTCTTCCAGCAAATGCACGCGATAGAGTTCTGGACTGTCTGCTGCACGAAGGCTCCAAGGTGCCCTGGAAGTCTGGAAGAGTTGAGTCGACTTTGTTTACCTTTTTCTTTTTGGAGAAGTCTGCTATTTAATGCTTGAAGATCTTGAAGTACAGAGGGAGTAGTGAGTAACTAGTTAAACTAGTTGTTTATCGTTGGTGATTGATTATTGTGATGTATGGAGCTACCTGGAGCTACCTTCAGCTACTTCGATCCGTAATGATCCATATCGATCCATATCGATCCCTTCCTTTCCCAGCCTAGTGCTGGATAATATTAGATAATGGCATAGATGACATGGATCATAGCTATGATGCATTATGATGCATGATTCTGCTCGGTGCTTTTCCAGGTGCTTTTCCGAGTTGCTCTCGCCTTGCTGCGTTTCATGGAGCCAGCACTTCTCAGTGCCCACGGCGTGGCGGCGGTCTATGACATGCTGCGGAGTCCTGCCCTGGAGGACGACCTGGTGGAGAACATGTACGGCTTTTGGCTCCAAGGCTTCTCCACTGACATTCTCATTCAGCTACGAGATCAACACTTGGTCTTTGTGACTTCACAGGAGCCATGGATTTCGCATATGATTTCGCATGATTTCGCCCATTTGCTTGTCAAAATCAAGATCAGATAGAATCGGTTGGACTGAGATGGAACAACAATGATTGGTCTTGTAGACTTAAAAGGACTCATATGACAAGTTAGTCCTGTCTTAGTTCATCGTTTGAAAGATTAAGATTGAGTTCTTGCTCGATCCCTCACTCCCTCCACAAAGACCATACTGACTATACCATTTTGCTTTTGTGGCTAAGAGATGTTATAACAGATATTAAGAGTTTGTTAACAGATGTTATATAACATTTTAGAGACCAACCTAGCTGCGCTGTAGGATGCTGAGCTGGAGGCTCGAAGAGAACAACGGAGATCCAGAGGCATCCAAGAGAGAATAAGATGTAGAAACACAGAAAGGAAACAGAAAGGACACAGAAAGATGTCTGTAACAGTGTCAAACAGAGAGAAAGCAACGTTTCACGTGTTTCCTACGTTGCATGTGTTGCATGTGATTCATGTGATATGAAGCGGCTCTTGATGGATTGATGTTGAACCATTCTGACATGTTTGGTGCTTCGCCTGCATCTTGGTAGTTGCTGGCAGGTACTTCGAACACGTTGAACTCTGATGGGTACAAAGATTCCCAAGAGACGCTCAGAAACCTAGACAGTTGGATTGTTCTTGATGAAGATTCGGTCAATCCTCCCGGCAAAAAGCGAGGCTCTGCACTGCTCTGCACTGCGCACAAATCAATCTGGATCAATCAGCACACAAATACACACAGTCGAAGTTTTTCAAGCGTTAAGCTTAGGCACCGAAGGTGTTGATGTGGTCGACATCGATGAGAACAGCGCCATGGACAATTCCTGCAGTCTCTCCCGTCTTGCATCCTCCATCTCTCGACCCCAGCAGTCTCCAAAGCAGATTTGAAGAGATCAAATTTGATCCAATGACCTCGAACGCTCAAAGGCGTTATGCACAAGATGTTTCTGAAGTACAACCAACATCAACTGGCTGACTAGCTGCTAGAACTAGCTACAGTAGAACTAGCCAGTCAAGTGTGAAGCCTGAAATACTTGTAGGACATCTCTGGCTCCTATGGCGTCAACGTTTGTGGATACGAGAAGTGCCGCAGCCGCCACGCCTAACTCAAATGCAACGGGAATATATAAGGCTTAATAGAATTTACGTGGCAGTAAATGATATTATGTGCATCTCTTCTCTTTTCCTTTTGTTGTAAAGAAGATCTGCTGGGGAAGGTACAAGGAGTTCATCGAAGAGGGTTGGACTACGGCCAAAAAGCAAGGGTCTGCCTGTCAAGTTTTTTTATTGACATTTTTGACAGTAGTTCCATGGTATTTGTACGTATTTGTCCTATACACATCTCATGATTCCCTGCAATTCCCATGCGCACCAAGTCCTATCAATTGCATGTGAAGAGACTTGAAGAGTCTCACCCTCCAGGTTGTTCCTGGGATCGTTGGACAAGACGGCCACGTCCTCAGAAATATATGACATCGTAGATCATCGTAGTATCAATTGACAGCAATTGACAGCAATTGACAGCAATTCAGAAATTGTGCGGTCTCAAAATCTGCTAGGTTTTAGACAACATTGCCCGGCTCCGCAAGATCTCTGGACAACCAGAGGCATGGCCTGGCGAAACTCGTGAAACGAAGTGGAACGGAAGACATGACTGGCAGATACTGGCAGATCCTGGCAGATCCTGGCAGGATTGCATGTGCACTTTTTCGAGTCTGTGGTGCCTTCTTGTTGCCAGGTGTCATTCCACATGTCAGGTACTGAAGCGGTAATGTGTGTTCCAACCTCAGAGCAGAAAGACGTTGGCTGAGTCAAAAAGCCAATTGTCAAGACGTTTAGAAGGGTTCTTGCAGGTAAGATGTGGATATATGATGGTAATTGATGGTATATGTGGGTTGTCGTGAGCAGAATTGAGTAGACAGAGCTAGGGCGCCATTAAGACATGTGAGGCGGTGCGAGTTGCCCGCTTCAACACTCAGAAACCTTTGGTGGTGACATTTGGTGGTGCGTAGCCTCCTTACTGTGAAATGAAAAACTGTGTGCGCGTGTTTTGGTTTGTTACATGGTGGAACTGCTGCAATCTCAGGTACCACGGTCTTGCTGCCATGGTTCACAAGACTCTATGTCTCTATGAGTCTCTACGTTTCGGTCTCCGTTGCTGATGACAGGCTGGTGGGATGGCATGCAGCCAGTGGCAGGAAATGAACGCCTGCCAAGCGATGTGCTCTGTTTGAAGGACAGTCTGAAGCAAAAATAAGCAAAGATAAGCCGATAAGCAAGAAAAGTGTCTGAAGTCAAGTGCTTTGCGGATCTTTACGGCACTTGACTTTGCACCTGGAGAGTTTCGTCCTGGCAAGGACATGAGCAACCTCTCCCTCAAGGTGATTGAGGCGGGCCCTGAAAAGTTCAGGAAGAAACTTATAAGATCTTATAAGATCTTATAAGTAAATATACTGTAAGTAAAACATAGTAAAACATAGAATATAGATAGTAAAAGAGCGTGCAGTATGCGCAGCGCTCCAACGTCTCCACACGAAGTCGGAAACCATTTGAGCATCGTGTGACATCGTGTGCTGCTCATGGTCCGAGCATCGGGGCATTCAACAACTTGCACAGGCTAGGAGCAGCGAAATTGCTGCGGTGCTCGTCAACCCCCTCCAGTGCTTTCACTTGAACCAGCATTGCGCCAAGTGTTGAAGATCTATTGACCTATTGGGGTTTGGGTAAAACGTACTTCGAAGATCTCCGAAGGTCACTTCGAAATACCTGTTTTGTTTGAAGGTCACCACCTAGTGATCCTGTCCTTTCGTCGAACAATCGCAAGGTGGGTAAAGTGCCAGTGCTGAATGACTCTTATAGATGTCGCACTTCACAATCTTCACACAACAAATTCCTGCAGTATGCTGCAGTACCTCGTTGATCTCGCTGATCTTGTGGTCCAGGTAGGTCCAACGCCAGGCTACAAGGAGTGGCTGCATCGCTTGCCGCAGACTGATCACAGTTCAGGGAAATTCAGGTTCGTACGACTTTTGCTTTAAAGAAATATCCGTAACACGCAGTGCCCACTCTTCTTGTTAACCACGGGAAATGCAGAACGGTCGTTATTTTTGAACTCTTGACATATTTTCTCGACGAAGCATGACAATGCAGTAGCGATCCGGAGAGCCAAGGGAAGGATGGATTAAATAAAGCGAATATCGTGAATGAAATGAATGAACCTGAGGCGTGATACCTGCAAGCAAGGAGGAATTCCTCTCATTTTTGACGAGGCCAGGCTTCAACACCTTAAACCCCGAACTGAGCACCTTACAGACACTTAGTCAGTGCCAAAAGATCCCAATCGTGGCAGTTTTTTCCGAAGCTTAGATTCTTAGATGCTCAGGTGTACACCGGCTTCCGGTTGCATCCCAGAGGAGCCCAAGGGGCATACGACGTGAAGGCATCTTGCCCATCTTGCCCAAACAAAGTGCTCAACGGATCTCAACGGATCTCAACGGATCTCAACGGATCTCAACGGATCTCAACAGATCTCAACGGCTCAACGAAGTGAACGAAGTGCTCAAGGAAGTACTCAACTCCCGCAGCTGGATATCTTATTTTGAATATCTTCCTTTTATCTTCTTCGAAATTCGAATACACTAATGTAGTTGCTGGATTGTTGACAAGGCAGATATTGTTTGCTACGGGAAGACCCTGGGCGGCGGCCTGCCTATTGGCCGGGGGCTTGAAATTCTTGTGGCTTGAACAAAACCCGCTTGTGCTGCTTATAGAACTTCTTGACATGGCAATTAGATTCAGATGATTCAGTCACCCGTGTCATCCTCGTGTAATCCTCGTGTAATCCTGCATTCGTTGCATGTCGCTGCAGCATCGGCTTCAGGTGTGGTCTGCGGACCGACAGATTTGATGGCTCGAGGCGATGCCAAGAAGGCAGCTCGGGTCAATTATGTCGTAAGCTCAGCTTCTCTCACACGCTTTGGGAGACTCTCTCAAGCATATATTGTCAGTATTTGTCAGTCATGTCATAAACGCATCAAGTTATGATATGAATAATTTGGGATCAGAGTGAGGTCATCGGTACCTTTGCTGGCCATCCATTTGTCATGGCTAGCATGAACGCCTTCTTGAAGTGGCTGCTTGGACCTGAACAATAGAACATGTGAACGGACCCATTCTTTTTTTTCCCCGTTCTTTTTCCTCTCTCTCTCTCTCTGTATCTACATATCTATCCGTCATGATCCTTCCACCAATCAATTTATCCAATGATTTCTTGATCTATCTGTATACTGTATCATATTATACGTACTATATTATACTCATAAACATGTATCTTGGACTTGGACTACTGCAGTTTATTTCCTTACTGGTCTTCGATTCTCTTTGATTGTCCATTGCAACTCCGAAGTCTTACAGTGTTGATGTAAAGCTGCTGCAAGATGTGCTAAAGCTGCTAAAGTGACAACTCTCGGCTCTGTGCCGACCAGTGAAGGTTGGAGCTACCAGAAACTATAAAGTCGTATGACGTGATGTCTACACCTCGGTTCAAAGTACATGCAGCATCGGCGGCATCGGTATCTTTAATAAGTGCTTGTGCATCTTGTGCCAAGGCATGCCAACATTGACAATTTCATCAAGACAGCAAACGCTAAGTTCCAGGAGACTCATTTTGTCAGTGGAATCTCATGGTTCTGAGGTGTTCTGAGGTGTTCTGAGTGCACCCCCACGCTTTCACTTGCCGTTACTTGCATCTTGCATTGCACCCCAGGAGAAGGACTACCCCATTCAGTTGACAAACTGGCACAAGGCTCAGATAGGCTCAGCTGCGAGACGTATTGAAGGTATTTTGCTTGCAGCAGTTGTGTTGCTTTCAACTTGGCTGCTAAAGTGCAGCTGAAGGTTCTCAGTGTGGTCCATTTTGTACACCAAACCCGGTGACAGACTTAGTTTAGCATCTCTGTGGCATCTCTGAGGACTTTTGTTTATTTGACGGCTAACCAGCTAATCAATCATCATTCTTGTCTTTTCTCTGATTCCCAGCATGCATCGTCCATGCCCAAGGCCGATACCACTGGCTTTTCCAGTATTTCTTGAAGGCTCTTGGGGAAGATCTGGGGAAGATCTGGGGAAGAGCTGCGAAGCCTTTTATTAATCTTTTTGTATCTTTTTGTTCTTTTTCCTTGTCTCTTGCACGAGAACCAGGATGCAGGCGTCAGCCTCAGTTGGGTCGGTCTGGCACTGAGTGAACGGCCGACAGCGCTCCAATTCCGTGAGACATGGCGAGAACGGCGAGAACTGCGAGAACTGAGGCACAGGAAGGCTTCTTTTCTCCCTTGAGTGGAAGAAAGAAGACTATGATAGGCCAGCAGCCAGCATCTCGCGCTTGCTGAACGATGCTGAACTTCCCATACTTGAAAGACAAACCAGTTATAAAGTCATACAGATTCCAGTCACATTCAGATCCAATTCCCAAGGCTGCTTGAACGATTACTATCTGCTTGCGAACAGATGCAGAAGGGCGGCTGGTGGCTTCGTCTTATTGGTAGAATGGTAGCGATTTAGGTCTCAGTGAAGAGCACACTTTTAGTAGGCGTGCAATGGCTATTGTATCTTTAATATTCTTTAATGGTATAGAGAGAGAGAGAGAGTATCAAATAGCACCAACTAGCATCAAATTGCTAAGGCCAAATTGATCAAGAGAAGAACAAAGGTGGGTCAAGTCGTTCAACGTCACTATGTTTGCTTCAGGTGGGAGGAGCCCAAGGCCAACATCAAAGCGAAACTGGGTGTTGAAATTGGCACAGTGCGGGGCACAGAGGGCACAGTCTGACCGCAGTTCTCTGACATTCTTTAACACCTTTGTATACCTTTGTGTACAAAGCCTTTGTATACCTTTGTTTACCCTCCAGAAGTGCTTTAGCTTTCGAGGCGGTCTTCAAAAACGTTCTTGGCCTGACGGGTTAAGCTCATAGCCACATAGTGTGGAGCTCCGAGACTTTGCAGGTCCAGCAGACTGTATGGTACAGTCCATGGCACAGTCCATGGCGCAGTCCAAAGGACTCGATTTTCCGCGCTTCGCTCAACAAGCGAACTCTGCGAAACCAACTGCACCAGGCAGTTTTCGATGTCAAGTCTGTTGAGAGCCACTGCAGGTGGCGCTCGACCCTCCAACGGCACTTGGACTCAAACCACCAAAAGTCGGTTCCCTGCGCAAAGCTTGCAGCCAAAAGGGATGGCAGCTG